ATATAAATAAAACAATTTATTTTGAGTTATTAAATTAAACTTATTTTTTTTTTAAATAATTAATAAAATATCTTCTTTCAGCAGTTAATTGTGTTTTGCCCAATTTTTCTAAATAATATAAACTAAATGACAAAACATTGTCACTGGGCGAAATGTATGTCACCTAGTTAACACGTTTAAAAAATATACTGAATAAACATACAAACATTTTTGACATTTAATAAAAAATAAGAAAAACAAGAAAAAAGAAACAGGTACCTATCAAAATTAATTAAAAATGTATGAAATAATATGCTTTATAGTAAATATAAGACAGACGTCTGTGTGATTAGCAGTATACGATAAAACAACAAAGACAGACCAGTCACAAATATCGAAAAAAATACCGACAAATAAATAATTATTGTGTGTGTGTGTTCCATACATATTATTAATAATGAATAACGAATTATAACGAATAATAATTCGTTATCGTTATAATATTATCATCGGACGATACGACAATGCATGGCTCGACGATCGTAAAGGGTAAATTCAAAAAAAATGAATACGACGTTGATCTATAAATAACAAATATATGATAAAAATAAGTAGTCTTATGTATGTTAGTATAATAATTGTTAATACACAATAGACTACTAATATTTAAAGCTTGATGCATTTTAGGAAAAATTATAAAAACATTTAAAACTTATTAATTTTAGATAAAATGAGAGGGCTACAGGAATTTTTATGGAGGCTACAGCCCCCTCACACCCATGCATACTACGCCCATGATCGTACCATCAGTTTCTACGAGTCGACTTTGAAACCTAACCGTCGTACGTTAAAATTTGAAAATCTTGACGCGGACCCGTACGGCAGCCGTTATCGAAACGTCTGCCGCCGACCGTGCCTTTATCTCTCTCACCAACCACCAGACCACGGCACGCAACGCCGCCGCGACCCCCGTCCTCCACATCTACCAATGGACAGGGGACGCGAACGGTCGCGACGACGCCCGCACGGAATACTATTCAACCGGTCCGGTCGGGTTGTTCTGTGAACACCGTGCCCGAGTGTGGATGTATACGACATTACATTATTCTTGTGACACAGCTTCTTTCCTAACATTTTTTTTGTCATTGTATTTCACAGTGAGATATTCTCATCATTATTATCATTATTATTATTACTTCCAAGTATTGTTCGGTAAAATAATATAAGGCTCACCAGCCACTACCACCTTTTGCCGCTGTGTTTTGTTTTCTTGTTACATGTAATTATAACTATTCTACCGTGCGTCGGGCCGCGACATTCCGGACCACGACAATCTCCAAATGTACGTTGTATTCAATTGTTTTGAAGGTGACAACAATGAAGATGATTTGATAAATATTTATTAATTAGTAATTAAAAATGTAAGTAAAACACCGATTGTTTTGTTAAATATCTCATGTTTTTTAATACAAATTTTGACTTTTTTGTTGCATAAATTCAATTTTGTTATTAATAATATTCCATTTATTTAATAAAAGTAAACATTTAATTCAAACAAATAAAATAACAAGACGTCATCACGTATATCTAACATAATATTACATTAATAGGCTGAGAGGTAAAAAGAATCGATCATTTTACTTCTTCGAAACGATATGTGACGCCGACGACCCGTGTGCATTTTCTTCGTAAATAAACCCACAATGAAAAATTTTACATAATAACCACAATAATCGGAACAGTGTTCTAGAAATATATCTTTCAACCAGGGAAGCACGTGCATCGTTTCAACATTTATAAAAATCAAAACTACTCTTACAGAACTAATGGAAACAGCTAACATTTATCCATTCTGAGTAAATTATGGCATATATAAAAGCCAAAATGAATGTTAATTTACTTCATTCATTTGCATACTATCCTTGTGAGTCCAACAAAAAGTATACCTACTAAGTAGGTGAAATTGCATATTTTAAGTTCGACTGGAGTTTCGGTTTGGAGAAGCAAGTCGGCCATATAATGAGTGTAAGCTTTTTAATAATTTTTTGAAAATAAAAATTTTGTTTTTAAAGTGTTTACAGTGGAACCTCGATAAGTTGAAAACGTGAATTACTCGAAAGAAAAACTATAGATAATTTTTTCGTTTCATTTGGTTTATTATTACTGCACTCCTTATTTTTAGTTGCAATCGATTGGTTACACGTGTGCTGTTAGTGGTGTGAATTCGAAAATACCTGAAGTCAGTATCGGGGATCCTATTCTAAAATAAAAAATAGAAAATTTTATAAAATTATTAGGCCACGAACAAGTCAAAGCCAATAGTGGTTGGCTTGAACATTTTAAAATACGTCTCGACGAAGAATCATCTGATCCAGAATTTTCAGTGAAGAAAACAAAAGCTAACCTGCTCTCACGTTGCTAAGGACATTCACCAAACAATCTAGTAATGTGGATAATAAAGTGTATTCTGCTTTAAATGTGGTAGAAAATACTATTGATGATTAGCATGTTCAAGAACCTAACTCAGAGTCAGATATCAAATTATTCCTTGTAATGTTTTACACATTTTTATCATATTTTTTTAATAATAATGTTATGGTAATTATAATACACAATTATATGTAATTGTTATAAAAACAATAATATATTTTAAAAACACAAAGTCGAATTTTCTTCTTAAAACATTGTTAACTTGAAAACCTTAGTAAGTCGAAAACCTCGATAAGTCGAAAAAATTGTATTTCCCTTGAATTTCGATTTATTGAGGTTCCACTCTATTGTACTATATCACTGCATTATTATATATTTGTGAGCATTTTAATTGGATCCTATAAACCGTTGAAATTTAAATAAATTAAATCAAATATCGATATCATCGTGTAGTTAAAATCGAAAGTTAGTACAATATAATTTACAGTATATAACCTACAACCCATATATGAATACTAAATTTAAGTTATATGGATCTTTTATCTTAATGTCATATTTATTAATAGTATAATTAATGGCATTATCGATGATAATCATATCTTAAGATTACTTAATTTGGCAGTTTCATATTACAACTCAATGAGCCATCCAACGCGCAAATTCTCAAATCATAAATAATTGTACGGCCACTTAACTTCGATTCATAGGTTGTTGGTTTAATATAATAAAACTCATGCTGTTGATTTTTTTTTCCGTTTTGTAACATAATCCATAATAACATTTTAAATTATTTAATCAATTATGGGTCATTAATTTATTATTATGGGTTTTTATTTTTACGTTTATGTTTATTTATTTTTTTACCATTGTTATTTATGTTTAAATACATAGTAATTTATTGCCTTCTGGTATCCATAAATTAAATATTATTATAATTAAGGCTCAGGTATTTATGCGATTGAAGTAACTGTAAAATGTATAAATATTTAATATAATTTTTAAGTAAATATATATAATTAATTTATATACGATACAATTATGTAGATACAATATTATATTATGAAGAAAACAATTTTTCAATGTTTTCAAATTTGTAGCAGCGTCTGAAATTTGTATGTGGATTTTAACAAACATATTCCTATACCTACTGTTATTGGAGTTAAAAATACTGTGTAATTCACTTTATATTTGCTTAAAATAATTCGTTAATTTAAATTTATTTTAAAAAAAAGTCCAAAAATATTCAAAGTAAAATTTTTATTATTTGATTCTTCAGAGCAATGACTCATGTTCAAGTTGAAAAATTTCATAAGATTTCGGCATTGGTTCAAGATCAGCAACAAATAATGGAAGGGTATTTTTATTGACCTTGTGTAGCACATTGAAAACTTGCCTAACCTCTTAGAAATGAACTTCTAACTCGTATTTTATTAGATTTAGAGACGTGGATGGTTGAAGATATGAAGATTACGTATTACTATCTGGAGAGATTTGTCCTCATTAAGCTGATAAGTATGATACTCGGCTTTTTCGGATTTTTGGAAATGAACTAGTGCTCTGTATGCACTAGGGTCCATAGTTTGTATTTTCAAAGAGTTAGTTGTAGATTTACAAATGAAATTGTCGACACCGATTAGCTCAATTAAGGCCGTACATAGTGGGGGAAAATCTTCGACTCCTTTAACAAATATAGGAGAAGGAGGTTTAATAGTTGTATTTTTATTTCCCATTTTTTCACTTTTGGGATCAAATTGATGAGAGTAGGTAGGTATATTTTCAGTAGTAGACGGTCAAATGAATCGTCTTGGGCAAATAGTTCGAACGTGTTGCGTGTAGCAAAGATTTTCTTTTTATTATTTTTTTGTTTAATATTTGTATCAGTGTTTGGAGATAAAGGTTTGGACAATGCGTTTGAGGAATTGGAGAGTAGTTGTTTGTTTGGATATGTTCACCTTCCAGTGTTTGAAGTACTAGCAATTAAATTCATTTTTGTAATTGTTTTTGAGATATGAAGCGGTGGAACGGTTTCATTCGTTTTGTTTTTAATTTTATTATTAGGACTGTTTATTTGACGATTATTATTCATATTGGTTTCGATAGAGAGCTAATGAAGTTTTTGGATTTGAGACGTAGGTAATATAGATTATACATTACCATTGGTTTAAGATAACGCAGCGAGCGCTGGGCGTCACTTTGAGTACTAGACTTTGCTATCGGGAGCAAATAAAAGTGTTTGCGAGATAATATACTTGTGGATTGTACGGTGTCTCAACACGAACTAAGATCTAGCATTAACTTTAATTTAATTAACTATTATGGTTAGGTTAGGTTATGAAACTCGCATGGTTATAGTTATATTTAAAATAATACATTTTACGTCATGACGAGAATAAAATATTATAGACAGTTGTTATCTATAAAATATTATTTTAAAATAATATTTCAAAAACAGAATAAATAATAACGTAAATAAAAAGGAAAGAAAAAATAATAACTTATGCATTGCATATGTTCATTCTTATTCTTTTTTTATTTATTAAACAAATTAAACATTATTAGATTTTTTGAAATTTAATAATAATAACCAGATCTATAAGTTCAACTAATATTTTATTATATTTGTCCTCAACATTAAATGTTGAACTGTACAACAATTAAGTATATAATAAACAATCAATAATAATGGTAATAGTGTTAGTACAGTAACTATAGAGTATTAGGTATGTAATAGACGTTTGTCATATTTAAAAATGCTAATCAAAAATATTATGTGTCCATAATGTGATGAGATTTCAAAGAAAAAAATCATTCTTTCTTGCAGTGGTAACATGAACAGCTCAACGCAGATTTAAATACCAGTTTTCTAACTCCTTCCAAACAGAGAACGTTGACTTCCACCTAGAAACAAAATAATGAATAGTAATAATTAGTAAATCCACTTCACATATTCAAATATTCAATCATAATAATTACAGAACATAACTATTTCAATACAGAATTTTAATTACTAAAACCACTTTTTTTACTTCTTGTTCCTTTCTCACTCCAATGTATAAAATAAATATTGGAACAACGCTATATTTAATATTCTTACTTCTAATCTAGTGTATATTTTTTTTATATCTATTAACATCTCATGATATAAAGCTTTAACTCTCTAGAATCTTGTTTAGCTTACTTATTATATTATTTTTGTCGATATATTTAAAAAAAATGTTTACTTTCATTATTATAAAAGTTATAATCTATCCAAATATCGAATTTAATTTTAGAACACTATATTTATCAATGATTTTAAATTGAAATAAAATCAAATCAAATAAAAATGTTATAAAATAAACCCCTTGATAGAATATTCAATAAGCCGAACCTCGTGCAAATCCAACTTAAGAATTAAGCTATATTAGCTATTTAAATGTCCGTGATTGTAAACATTTTTATAATTAATTTTGATTAAAAAAGTTTAAAAAAAAAAATCATTATATATTCAATACATTTTACAGTGTACATAGATTTTGTATATTTTAATAAAAAGTGTAAGACAAAATAAACAAAGCACATTTTAACAAAAAGATGAACTATGTATTATATTTCTATTATTGAACCCTAATATGTTATAAAGATACTAAACTAGAACTTTATTTAAGTTCGAAAAACTTTAATATTGCTGGCATTAACTGGAAGACTTGCTCTAGTCGATTGATTAAAAATTAATTTTAAAACTTTCCTGAAGGAGTCTATATTATTTTATTATAATGAAAAAACTAGATTTTTGTAAATTTATTATGTAACTTAATTTTGTAAATATATAAATAAATATTTTATATAAAGAAATAAATGAATAAATAAATAAAATACGAATTCTGGAGTATTTAGATATGTGTATTGTACAACCAGTTTTGAATTAAAAATACATCGTCTGGTAAATCATAAAGTAAAAAAAAAAAAAATCGCCACTGAATATGAAAAAAAAAGTTTATTTTGTTTAACTAACACTAACTGTACAAAATATTTATTTATGTATTTATTTTCGAGTACCTATTAACCATTTATTTAATTTTGTTTTATTTCATCACTTAAGTATGCGATACTCATTTAAATAAATTTAAACAACAGGACCTTTTATGATTAATACTTATTATATATATTTATAAAATCCTTTTAAATGATATACTAAACCATTATAATTTAATGTATAAACAATTTTTTTTTAGAAATTATTTATATTTATCTATAATGCAAGAGTTTATTCTTTTTTACTACTTGGTACTACATTGTTTAGTATTAATCGGATCCAACATATTTCAACAGACACGTGTCATCATAGAAATATATAGTAATACATATACAATAAATATTAATTTACAAAATGAATGACTAATAATGACATAATATATGTGAATTGACACATAAATATTCGGTAGTGTTTAAACAAATGAATCAAAATCTTATGCTTAACTATCGTTTTATGCAATAATATATACAACATAATAAAAACACAGTGAGATTTAACTTGTTTGAAGAAGTTTGTTCTAAGAAACACAGTAAATTATAATAGGTTAAAATGATAAATATTTAGCATAGTAAGTAACAATAACACATGATTATACTAATTAGATATTCATCAAAATAATTTAACAGTGAGTTTAATTTTAAGTCTTAAAATTATATACAGGTACTTGACAGATTATTTATATAAACAATTTTTTTTAAGTGCATAGTTTTTTTGTATTATATGTAATTTAATATAACAATAATAATGCTCAAAAAATAATACAAATTACCAAGGATGTTACACTAATGTGTGCATATGAAAAGAAAAGCGGCCGATAAATATGAGAGAAAAATGGCTACGTAAACCAATTCATGGATTGCAAACTATAGATCAGTGTTTCTCAACCTGGGGGTCGCCAACTTATTATTTAGGGTCGCAATCGAATGATTTAAATCAATGCGAAAATTAAAAGCTCAAATAATAAAAAAATAAAATCAATAAAATATTATTATATTACATACCTATTACGAGTATAGATTATTTATATTAAAATGGAAAACACACTATTATCATTCTTAAAGCGATATTACTCTATGACGTCCATTAAAGAATCTATAATAAACGTCGAATATAGATTATCAAGTATCAACCTAAGATAAGGCCACCGCCGCGGTCGCATATTATATTATTATATATTTATGTCACAGTTCATCGTTAACACCGCCGTGCCGTGCGCCGTTGTAAAATATAGGTTAATAAGTTGCATTTTTATATTGTATTTCACATTTTTATACACTTTATCTTTATTTGACTTTATGTATTATTATAAAATATTTCTAATATGAGTAAACAGTCGCAAATGACGAACTTTTTCAAACAACCGCACAATACATCGACTTCTGATAATCAAAACTCAAATATTACAAAAAAACATAATTTGGATACTACTCAAAATGTTGATGAACCATCACTCAAAAAGGTAAAAATATTAAAATATAAAGATAGTTACGTTGAATATGGCTTTACAAACTTAAACGTGAATGGAAAGGATGTTCCTCAATGTGTTATTTGTGGTATGACATTAGCAAATGCATCACTAAAACCAAATAAGCTCATTAGACACGTGGAAACTAGTCATGCTCAGTATAAAAATAATACAAGGGACTTTTTTTTTAAGAAAATTCGAAGAATTAAAAAAAAAATAAAAAAATGATAAATACTTATACGGTCGAAGACAAAATCTACCTAAAATGTTCTTATTTGGCAGCCTTACACATAGCTAAATCAAAAAACCATACTCGATTGGGGAAAAATTGTTAAAACCGTGTATGATTGATATTTGTACAGAATTATTTAGTAATGAGCACGTGACAAAGATTAAAAAAATACCTATGTCTAATGATACGATAAGTAGAAGAATAAATACTATGTCTAATGATATTGAAAATCAGCTTAGTGAAAAAATCAAAAAAATCAATTTTTTACGCAATACAGCTCGACGAATCTACTGATATAAATAATGAAGCTATATTATTGATGTATGTGAGGTATGTAGATACTGATCTGAACGATATACAAGAAGAGTTTTTCTGTTGCTTAAATTTAAAAACATACTGTACTTCTGAAGAAATTTTCAAAACCATTTCATCTCATTTCCAAAAAATTAATTTACAATTTTCTAACTGTATCGGTATTTGTACTGATGGAGCTGCAGCTATGACCGGAAAATTTAATGGCCTTGTCACACGCGTTGAACAAATTGCTCATAAAAACATTATATCAACACACTGTTTCATCCATCGTGAGCAATTAGCCGCTAAAGATATGAACGAAAACCTATTTGACGTTCTAAATATATGCATAAAAATAGTAAATTTTATTCGAGCTAGTGCCGTAAACACTCGCGTTTTTAAAGTGATGTGTGAAGAAATGGGTTCAGGTTTTAAAAATTTGCTATTACACACTCATGTTCGATGGTTGTCGCGAGGAAAAGTTTTGACTAGGTTATTTGAACTGAAAACGGAAGTAGAAATATTTTTAAGAGATAAAAAATCACCACTTAGTGATTATTTCGAAAATAATGTGTGGTTAGCCAAACTTGCATATCTTTGCGATATATTTTCAATTCTTAATGAATTAAATTTAAGTATGCAAGGTCCACATACTAATCTTTTTATATCGTACAACAAAATTGACGCATTCCTAAAAAAATAAGACTATGGACAAATCGAGTAAAAAACTACACATTTGATATGTTTCCAAATTTTTTTAACATGACTCAGGAAAATATATTAACAAAAAATGAAATAAATGAAATGTGTATTATCATAGAAGAACACTTAGGTAGATTAAGAGAAAAAATGTCCAAATATTTCGACCCCACAAAAGACATTCGTAAAAATTGTAATTGGGTAATAAATCCATTCGTACAATCTGATCAAAATATACTATCATTAACAAATGAAGAAAAGTTGATTGAATTGAATGCAGATGTGGGCTTACACGAGATTTTCAGAAGCAATAAAAATATAGGTCAATTTTGGATAAAGGTTCAAAATGAATATCCTAGTTTGGCTGAAGAAGCATTAAAATTACTTATTCCATTTTCTACTACATATTAGTGTGAAAATGGTTTTTCCACATTAACAACAATAAAAAATAAAACTAGAAACCGTCTGGAAATTTCATCGGCTATGAGAATTAGCTTGACGAAGTCAATTAAACCAAGAATTGACGAAATAATATCACATCAACAGCAACAACCAAGCCATTAAAAATATTAATATAAAAATATATTTATATAATAAAATGAAATATTTAATGTACGTTTTTTTTAATTTTAAATAAATATAATATTATAATATGTATCTTTTATATTTCTCGTGTACAGTACTTGTAGTAACTATAGACTTTAGATTATTTATAATGATAATCTAAGCGAGTATGTAAAAATATATATGTAGGGGTCGCTAAAAAATTTAAATTTAAAAAAGGGGTCGCCACAGTAAAAAGGTTGAGAAACACTGCTATAGATAATAGCGATAATATTAATTGAACAATTTTCGAAGCCGCGTGCGATAGACAGAAGTGGACCCAAACCGAAATTACGGAGGAGATAATTTTTAAAAACCAAAGAGTACACATTTATAATAATATGGTATAATGTTTCTTTGTGAAACAAATATTTCGTACCATATTTCGTTTCTTGAATCGACAACCATGGCTGGTATAACTAAAACATCTAGAAATCCTTGAATTCTTATGATTTTTTGTTTTTTTTTTTTTTTTTGAAAATGGGTGAGAGCGATAAGTTTAGACTTAACAATAGATAAAAACTGTTTCGACTGGAACTAACGGGTTTTCCAATTTTATTATTTTTCAGCACTTCGCATCAACTCAATTT